TATAAAAATGTTGTAATTTCTGGATAATAATTTCATGAAATTTCAGTGCTTAACTTCATTATTCAGAGTGTCATGTTTAATCTAAATGTGTATGTCAAATGTAAAACAGACTTTAAAATCATTCTGTTTGCTTCGTTATTTCTCTCACTCCAGTAAAAGAGTGCGTACGCATGGTCTAGTGTGTCCGTACGGTGCGCACATATTTACGCCTAGCTCATTTTTTATAAATCCCGATATGTGCGAGGAAAATTGCGTACACACATTTCCATGCCCATTTTGTGCGTACGCAATGTTTATACATCAGGCCCCAGGTCTCTTAGGAGAAGCACATTCAAAGGGAAAAGCAGAGGACCTAATACTGAGCCCTGTGGCACACCATACTTGTGTTAGATGGGGGCGTCTCTTCATTTACACAAGCAAAGTGGTAGCGGTTACATAGACAGGACCTAAACCATGCTATTGCTTGTCCACAAATGCTAACATAATTGTCAAGGTTTACAAGAGAATGTAGTGGTGACGAAAGATCTAAAAGCTTTAGAAGAGAGATGTTACTTTAATAAGCACAATCTCTGTGCTGCAATGGGGTTTAAATATTGACTGAATTTTCTCAGAGATACTGTTATTCTGCAAAACTGAGCACAGTTGAAAGGATAGTATTTTCCTAATATTTTAGTCACAAACGGTACATTTAAGATCAGTCTATAATTAACCAGTACTCCTGGGTGACAATTTTTTCTTTTTTATGGATAAAGATTTGAAGTTTAAAAGTTATTGGGATTTGTCCTAAAGTAAGCAAACCGTTGACAATAATGAAAAAAGTTTCTGAGATTACAGTAGCTTTTTCAGTATCTTAGTTACAGTATCTATCATACATGTTTTTAGTGTTGATGATGTGTGTTGGATGTGATTCTTTAAATGTCTAAAATGTTTGGATGTCTGTTGCTTTGTGCCAGTAAACTGGTGTAAATTTTTATTTGTCTTTTTGCCTTAGATCTGATGCCGCTGAAAGAGGAGAGTGAAGTACTGAATGAAAGGGAAGAGAAAAATCAGTTTAACAGTCATCATGATTTCATAACTGGAGAAACATCTTTCAGGTGCTCACAGACTGAAAAGACTTCCACACGAAAAAGACTAGGGGTTATTTCACCTGCTTTCAGTGTGGAAAGAGTTTCAGTCAACCCGATTACCTTAGAGCCCACAAGAAAATTCACACCGGAGAGTAGCGTTTCGCCAGCCAAGAGTGTGGAAAGAGTTGCAGTCAACCCGATTACCTTAGAGCCCACAAGAGAATTTACACCGGAGAGTAGCGTTTCGCCTGCCAAGAGTGTGGAAGGAGTTTCAGTCAACCCGATTACCTTAGAGCCCACAAGAGAATTCACACCGGAGAGTAGCGTTTCGCCTGCCAAGAGTGTGGAAAGAGTTTCAGTCAACCCGATTACCTTAGAGCCCAGAAGAGAATTCACACCGGAGAGTAGCGTTTCGCCTGCCAAGAGTGTGGAAAGAGT